ACCCGAAACGTTAACTCTGTTTTCTCCTCCACAGATGCTGCCAGACCTGCTGAGCTTTTCCAGCAACTTTGTTTTTGTTCCTGATTTACAGCATCTGCAGTTCTTTTGGTTTTTATTGAGAAACTTGCTCGACCAATTCAAAGGCAATTCAAGTACATAAAGTTGCTGTGGGTATCATGTAGGCTAGACCAAGGGTACTAAGGACTGGGTTTCTTCCCAAAGGATTATTAGCAAACTACATGGATTTCATAAATGTATGGTGACTATGTGACTGACATTATTGACACTAACTTTTTGTAAAAATTCAGGTTTAAATAATTAAATTTAAATTCCTCTGTTAGGGCTATTGTAGGGCAGTGGTTATGACCCTACCTATGAGTCAGGACACCCAGGGTCACATCCCACCCGCTCCAGACCTGTGTAATAACAACTCTGAACAGGCTGATTAGAAAAAAATTCTACATTTCTCCATTGCCATGGAAGGACTGATATTTCTAGGTTATTGGTCCAGGTCTCTTGATTATTAACCTAATAATATAACCACAATGTTACCCTTCCCTTTCTCTCATACTTTAAGGTACTTCATTAAATCTGTCTTTGACTGAGCTTTATATCAGCTTCTTTTGTTTGAGGTTAATGTGTGTCTAATTACATTTCTATGAAATGCCTTTGGACATTTTACTCCATTAAAAGGTACAATATAAATGCCCATTGTTGTTGTTGTTGGGGTGATCCCAGAGATGCACTAAATAACATTTTAAAATTTGCAGAATAGGTATTCATAGGAACAGGAAACCACTCAGCTCCTCGAGCCTGTTCCCTAGATCTCTGAACTTCTAGTTTTCACATTAGTGTAGAAAATGCAGGCAACTGAATGGAGAATAATGCAACCATCCAAAGTTACCCAGATAAACAGACATATAGTTTATGAAGACAGATTGCTTATGTGCTGCATGTTGGACAGCAGCTATGCTGATTTGCATTCTGAATTATAAGTAATTTCAATCTTAAAATGCAACACTAGCCTTCCTGTTAAGACAACTAGATAACTACAAATTATGTGGACAGTAAGAATCTTGACAGAATACATTATTCAATAAATTAAAATGCCATCAATAGAATATGTACGAGTAACTAACCTACCTTAAACAATAAGACTCCAGTAAAGGATATCAATTAATTGCACAATAGCACACTATTGTCAAAAGGCCACTCCTGATAATATTCATATTTAAAAATCTTACAACTGCACATGTATTTCACCAATTGTCTCTAAACTGTCCACGTTCATAATGGAAATTACAGTTGCAACTCTGCAATGATGTAATGACACTGATGCATGTTGAAGCAGGAGTCTAAATCCTAAGCTGTAACCAACTTTATTCTGGATCCCAAAACTGCAGTATATTTTACTAACTATCAATAATAACAAAAAACTATGAATTTATACTTAAAAAGAATGAGCAGAAACTCATAGCTTTGAAATGCTGACTGAATCATGTTAATGGCCCTGATGCAACGATGTCTTGTCTTCTAATGTCAGATCATCTGTACAAACCCACGGGAAGTTAGCTTTAAATTAGCTCTAATATTTCTCCATCTAAGCCTCGCAAGTGTTAATCAACACATTAACAGCAGGATTAGAGAGCTGCGTCTCAGGCGTTGCGAAGGGTGGAACCTGGGCTCAATTCCATGTGGATCTGTCGCTCACACGGAAACTACAACTCCCAGCAGACAACGGGCCTAACAACTTGACTAAATTTGGAGATAAACACAAAAGTAACGTGCTCCGGGCGCACAATAGAACCATATCCATATGAATCGGTTCGCACTTCTCGCTGAGTGTCGGGGATGCAGGAATCACATTACAAGAACCAAACGGCCAACAATCGATAGTCCATCCAGCCACCCCTGACAACGCACCTCAAAAAAGAACTTGAACAGGAGCCAGGCCGCAGCACGGCGCAACTGCGGAGTCGGTGGAATCCGATTGGTCCATCGCCTGCGGGGGCGGGTCGTAGCGTGGAGGAGTGGCAGGGGGGATAGCCAACCATACGACGGGATTCTGGGATCGGCACGCGTTAATTGGTGGGTGGTTGGCGTACGAGCCGTGTGCAGCGGGCCCCGCCTCTCCCTCCGTGTGCAAACCGCGTGACGCGTGCAGAACGAAAGAGCCAGAAAAAAAACTGAAAGTCGGTGGCCAGGTGGAGTGGAAGGCGCAGTACCGAGACAGTGAGTAAGTAGGACAAATAAGAGTGCGCGTATGGCGGGCTGTCTCGCAACGTCACGGCGAACTTGACTTTCTTTCACTTTATCCTCTTTTCCCCCCTTATCCTCCCGGAGAGTTAACGCCAGCTGCCGGGCTCCCGAGGGTTAAGCTCTGAAGAAGTGCTGAGGTAAACAAGTGAATTTCTGACGGCGCATTGCGGCCTATGTGTCAGGCTGTCGGGTCGAACCTCCGTTCCTAAACATCTACCTCCCAGAAAGAAAAGTCTACCGCTTTTAAGTATAACCTATCCACCGTGTCTGCAGCCCTCAATCCTCCCTTTTTTCATTAAAAGAAAAAAAACCCACTCAGTTTTTCCCGTTTTTGCGCTGCGCTGAGCCGAGGCCTCCTGAGCCGACACGCGGTGTCCCTGGGAGGTGTGTGTCTGTGTCACTAGGCCCGACGCCTCCCTCGAGTTGTAATGGCGTGGTCTTGCGTTAGTTATGCCGCGCCTGACTGACCCGTTTTTCACTTTCCTCAGCCTTCGGGCTGAAGTTTAGTTCCTGGTCTCTTTCTTTGTTTTTTTTTGGGGGGGAGCCGTTATGTTGGGACTGTCGCACGCGGAATGGGGTGAATCCGCCTCTTTCTTTTTGGCGCCGCTACCTTTTGACGGCCTCGGCGACAAATCCGCGGCGCCAAAGTTTAAGTCGGCTGGTCCCAAAGGCCCATCCTCACTGCCTCGCCCCGATTTTCAGGCCCCACTTAGATCGTTCTAATGACAGAGCCAATTTATTTCCGAAAAGTAAGGCCATTTGTTAAACCAACAACTGAGACCCCACCCCTTAAGGCGTGATTTAACCTGAAACTTGAATGAGCTTGACTTTGGCGGGAAAGAAGTTTAAAATCTCTGCATGGCTGCTATAGGAGGTTGCGTCCACGTAGATTTGTCTATCAACCTGAGCTATCCTTTAGGCTACGTCTTCCGAAGGTTTATAAATTCTATTTAATTCCAGATGGTGTTACTTTCCACCCCTCAACAATGAAAAGAGCAAATTCTTTTGGGCGTCTGCACACTTTTGTGCATGTGACTGTTCACCATTCGCTTAGGTGGATTGTACTGGGCAACAAGTAACTTTCAAATGTTAAATTATGCTGTGTTATCAGTATTACAACTTCCAGAAAATATGAAACTTTTGGATATAGCTTCTTTTCACTTATTTCTCTTTCTTTTTTCACAGTAAATTGGGTTAGATTACACCACTTTGGCTAATTGCTTCAGCCCAAGAAAGCAATGGATGTCATTTGGCCTCTTGCCAGTGCTCTTCAACTGTTTTTACATTGGAGTTACTGGTGCTTTCACTTTAAATATAAGTTTTATAATATTGAGTGGCTCTTCAAATTTCCTAATTCTCTTGTGAATGGAGTCCAGTTTTAATGACTATGGTAGAATAGGAGCATAGTAATGTTACTGCTCTAATGATCCAGTGGCCTAACTTAATGCTGTAGTGATGCACACTTGGGAGGCAGTGGCCTAGTGTTATTATCACTAGACTATATTGATCCAGAAACTCGGCTAATGTCGTAGGGAGCTGGCTTTGAATCACAACATGGTACATGGTGGAATTTGGCTTCAATTTGTTTTAAAATCGAATTGAGCATCTGACGCCCATGAAACCAGTAGCAGGGAAAAGCCTGTCTGGCTCGCTCACTTCCTTCATGGAAAGATATCGGCCATCTTCACCTGGTCTGGCCTACATGTGACTCCAGACCCACAGCAATGTGGTTGACTCTCAGCTCCTGTCTGAAATGGCCTATCAATAAATGGGGGACAGTTGAGAGCAATAAATGGTGGCTGGCCAGCTAGCAATGCTCATGTGAATAATGAAGTCCCATCATAACGGTTGGGGGAATTCATATTATGTTCTTCTCTGGTGCCCTTCTTTATTAAGATAGGAGTATCACTGGCAAGGCCACTACATGTTGCCCATTCCTAACTACCCTTGAAGTAAGTGGCTTGTCACGTTGCTGCAGTTGAACATCAGTCACATTGCTATGGATCTGGAGTCATGTTGAAGTCAGACTGGCTAAGGATGTTAGATTTCCTACCCTAAAAGGCATTAGTTAACCAGTTTGTTGGTTATAATAGTCATTATGGTCACTTACTGAGACTAACTATGTAATTGATCTATCACTTTAAATTTCACCATTGTGTTTTGGGCTTGTCTGTAGAGTTTTAATCTGGGCCTCTGCTGGTCCAAGGGCATTACTGCTATATCACCACCTCCCACTCTGGCCTATGTGACTTGAAAACCTATATCAAAGCAATTGGCTTTGATAAACAGCTTGGCAGGACACGCGGCTCGGTGGATTACCAGCATTTGGGGATGGACAATGCTTGCAATCTTGCTAACCATGCTGGCATCCCAGGAATGAATAAACTTGGTAGATATAACTTATAAATGATCTAGGACAACTAGACTCCATTCATCTATTACTCACTTGTGCACAATCTGTTAGAAGCCTTCTCGTGTCTGTCTTCATTAAATAGTTTTAATTTTGTTTATGGTCCCATTAAATATATGTAATGGGATTTCTGTAGATAATGTGCTTTTCTAAAGTAGTTGCACCAAGCTGCATTTCAAATGTAGTTGTGGGCTAGCTTGTCTTGGATAAATGCAACCTCTTTAAAATCTTTTTCCAATTGCATTTCCATCTCAAATGCGTGCTCTGCATTCATGGGTTACATTTATTTTACTTAATTGTGCTATTTAGGGTAGATCTTTTAAGTGCAATTGTCCAATTTTTATTTCACATTTCTTTAATTAAGCAGGAACTATGACTTTTGTCATTCAAATTCAAGAATTAAACACCTAAGGTAGTGTCTTTAACAAAGGAAAGTGTGTAGCCTTTCACAGGATGTCATTGGTCAAACATTTGACACTCGGCTACTTATTAGAATAAGAGTTAACTGCAAGTGTTTTAATGAACATCCTGAGGGCAGGGCAAGGTGGGGAGTTTTGGAGCTAGCTTTCAGTTGAAAGCACAGGTGGCAGTAACTAGGGTAGGGAATCATGGGATGCACAGGAAACTGCAATAAGACTTATTTTGAAAGTGTTGCTGATAAATTGAATTTGTGTGTATATATATTATATCATACGTGTGTGTCTTGGTTTGAGTTCCACCATTTATATTTGGTTTTCTGATTTTTGATTTTTAAATACAAATTTGTTATGAAGGATGACAGCAATTGATCTTATATTCTTAACTAGATAACTGTCTAATGGGAGTGAGCAGCTTCCAAAACAGTCTGTGGTTACACTTGCATTCAAAACAAAACCTAACTCCAAGCAATTAGTTATAATGTTCAGGAAACAAAGTAGTCTAATTTGAGGCAAAAAATTCTGCCACCAGTTTGATTTTGTTTGTGGCCAGATGGATTGTATGTTTAGGAAGCTAGATACAGTTGACAGGTATTTAACTTTTGCCATGGTCTATTCTATCTTTCATAAATATTGTTTGACTTAAGTCACCTTCAATTTCTTCATGTAATACCATACATGGTATTACACTTCATAAGCAATTTGTTTAGCCAGTTTTTTATTACTTGTTTGTCTGTGGTTAATCATTTTTGCTAGTTTTGCTTTCTGTTGTAAGGATTGTTTTTGTTTATCCTATTCTGCTTAACTGTAATGAGATAAAGAAAATACTATCAACATACACAAGAATATTGTATACAGTATGGTACTTGGGTTGGGCAACCATGCTGAGTTTTCTCAACTCCAAAAGGTCACTTGACCTGAAATGTTAACTCTGATTCTCTCCACAGAGGCTGCCAAACCTGCTGAGCTTTTTCAGCAATTTCTGTTTTTGTTATTAGAAGTACTGTTGGAATCTTAATGGGAGGGTTAGTATACTAGAGGCATTGGTTTCGATGGTCCCGATCACCTTGAATTATGAATAAAAGGTTCACGCTTTTTAATTGAATCCATTAATTAAAACAAACAATTCCAAGTGACAATATCAAGCAATGATGTTTCTGCCTTTATTGTACTGTTGTGGTAAGATTTTTTTCTCTTCTGCAGTTATTCTGTCATCTGGTGTCTTGCGGAGCTCTTGTTTTTGACATTTGCAAATGGTTGGAAGAAAAACTGTTGCAACCAAGTCTTGTATCCCTGAATCTAAAAGAATTGGTGTTTAAAGTTGATTAAGCTTTGTTTCGCTTCAAACTTGGATGCTGATAACGATGGAAGGGGAAAGTTTAAATTTTGTATTAGTTTGAAACTAAACCAGTGAGATTGGGAATGGAGAACAGTGTAAATAGAACGTGTTCAAACATTCAAAAGCATACAGTTTCAAACATCTGACTCATCATTGCAACACCTTTTTAATGAAGTTGCTACTTGAGCACCATGGTATCTTTTGTTCTGACTACTTCTTGGCAATCTGCGATTTACATAATTTCATTACTCCTAATTTGATTCGGGATGAGTTTATTTGTCGAATGTGAGCTTTACTGACCAGTTACTGTTGTCCACTCCAAATTTCAACCACTTGAAGGTTGAGTTACCATATTGAACCACTCTGGACTGTGGTGTAGGTACACTGCAACTAGGTATGAAATTTTCAGATATTTGACCCAGCAACTGAACACTAGTTCCTGGATAGGGCAGTAAGTGACTTGAAGCTAATCCCTCAAGTGCTAATGTGCCCATACTTCTAGTTCTTGCTGAAACCAGATCATCCTGTCTGTCTGACTTTTTGCACTCAGATGTGGGTGTCACGAGCTGGGCCAGCAGTTATTTCCTAGTTGCCTTTTTGAAGGTGGTGATTAGCTCCTGCCTTGAACTGCAGTCCACATGTTTTACATTGAATGACCATGGCAATTATATTTTCCAAATTGGGATGGTGCCTCTCTGAGGAGGAACATGCAGTGATGTTTCCATGTATCTACTGCTATTGTCCTTCTAGGTGGTTGTGGGTTAAAAGGTGCTGCCTTTGAATTTCTGGTCTTTGAATTTCTGCAGTGCATCTTGCAGACAGTAGCCATCTTTCTAAGATGTTGGTTGTGAAGGTGGTACTATCAAATGGGCTGTTTTGTCCTGCATGGTGTCAGACTGTGTTGATGGAACTGTACCCCTCCAAGCAAGTGGAGGGTATTCCAGCACAGTCCTGACTTGTGCTTTGGAGATGATGGGCAGGCTTTGAGGAACCAGTGGTGAGTTACTTCCTGCAGTATTCCTAGCCTTTGACCTGCACTTGTTTCCGCTGTTTGTGGTGAGTCCAGTTGAGTTTCTGGTTAACAGTAACCCAGGATGTTGTTAGTAGGAGATATAGTGGTTGTAGCACCACTGAATGTCAAAGAGCAGTGGTTAGATTATTTTATTGGAAATGGTTATTGCCTGCCATTTGTGGCATGAATGCTACTTGCCAGTTGTCAGTTTCATTCCAGATATTGTCCTGATCTTGTTCCATTTTGAAAATGGACTGGTTCATTATCTCCTGAACATTGTGTATTTATTGGCAAACATCTCCACTTCATCCTTATGATGGAGGGAATGTCAGTGAAGCAGCTGAAAAATGGTTGGGCCTAGGACACTACCCTGAAGAACTCCTGCAGAGATGTTCTGAAACTGAGATAACTGACCTCCAACTGCAAACGTATATTCCTATGTGCTAGCTATGACTCCAGCCCATGGAAAGTATGCCCTTGATTCAGTTTGGTTGTTTTTTTAGTTTTGCTTGGGCTCCTTTGATACCACACTTGATTGAATGTGGCCTTGGTGTCAAGGGCTGCCATTATCTACTCACCTGGAATTCACCCCTCTTGTCCCTCTGTCTTGTCGGGTAGTCAAAAGCGTTCATTCTTGCTATTTGCCATGGTACTAATTTTCCACCCATCTGCGAACTTGCTGATCAAACCTCATATATTCACTTCTGCATTAATGTGGATTATAAACAGCAAGGGTCCCAGCAACAACCATCTCTCGCTCGACAAGGGCTTCCTGTCAAATACCCTCTGACGTTCACCCCCTGCCTTCTGCGACTGAGCTGAGCTAATTTTGACCCTGATTTGCCAAATTGCCCTTGATGCTTAGGTTCTTAACTACTTGGCCAGTCTCCCATCAAAAGCCTTCTGAAGTCCATGTAATTATATCCACTACCTTCATCCAAACATCTCATCGCCAGCATTTCTTCTGCACAGCCGCTCTGAAATTCCGTGACTGGAATTAACATGCCGATCGTACAGCATGGAAACAGACCCTTTGGTTGCTATGGACAAGTGGGCCAGACACATCCCAATCTGACTTAGTCTCATTTGCTAGCATTTGGCTCATGTCCCTCTAAACCCATCCAAATGCATTTTAAATGTTGTAAATGTACTCGCCATCTTCACTTCTAGTAGTCCATTCCATACACATACCACCCTCCATGTGGAAAAAGTTAATCGTCAGATCCTTTCTAAATCTTCCCCTCTCACCTTAACCCTTTAATTTTGGGCTTCCCACCCTTGGTGGGTGGGGGGGGTGGTGGAGGAGAAGGAACCTTTAGCTGTTCACCCTGTCTATACCCCATGATTTTGTAAACCTGAGGTCACCTCCCAGGCTTCGACACTACAGGGAAAACACCCCCATCCTATTTGGCCCCTCCTTTATAACGCAAACTCTCCAATCCTAACATTTTGTGCAGTCTCAAGTTTAACAACATCCTTCCTATAGGAAGGTGACCAGAATTGTATGCAGTATTCTAAAGGTGGCCTCAGTCAGCACATTGATTTCTGGTTCTGGAAGTTGCTGCCATGCATGGGCCTTAAAGGCCACTCAGCCAGTAACAAATTGCAAGTCACCTCTTTTGCAAAATTCAATTCAATCCAAACCTGATGTCCTCCCTGACAAAGCAATGCTAATACTTGTACCTCCAAGTGGAGATTAATTCTGCCCCTGAGAGAGGTTTTTCCAATTTCCCACTTACATTTATTTGGCCTGTGTAGTTTCCTGGGTTATGGTGAGTTACTAACCAGACAGTTTCAATTCTGACCTGGTCCTGTTGCATGATTCCTAATTTCATACCAGTTGTAACTGAGGATGTTTTTAATGGTAATACAACTGAATATAAAGGGGAGATTTTATTGTTAATGGTCATTGCTACAATGCAAGACATGATGACAGTTTGAAAACTGCTCAATGAACGTTCCTACTTTGTGATGGAGAAAATATCATTGAACCAGCTCCTTTAAAGCTAGGATACAATATCCTGAGGGCGAGATGATTGGCCTTTAGACTCTAGCACTTTTTGCTCCACTGATTTAGAGATACTCTGCGGTCTGGCTGTATCTATTATCTTCAGAGCTGATGAAAGGCTGTTGGACTAAAACGTCAACTGTTTTCCTTTCCATGGATGCTATCAGACTTGAATTTCTCCAGCACTTATTTTTATTTTGGACCTCCCAGTGCCTGCAGTTTTTATTCCAATCCATTGAGACTTTAACCAATTATCATTAACTTCAATTTTTTTTTCCCTAAGGCTCCTTAATCCAACATGACTAAAGGCAATTGCCCAAGTTCAAAGCTGAAACTCTGCTTGTTTGTCCTTGCTTGGAATAAAGCTGTAGTGGGGTCTGGAGTAGTGCTGGCAGAACTCAACTGAAAGTTGAGCAGTTCATTGATGCACAAGGGCTCCCTGTCACTATTGACAACCCGCTTTTGTAATTGAGTCTGGCATGGTCATTGACTGGATGTGATGGAGTAGGCAGTTCGACACATGCTCCAGTGTTCCAAGGAACGTGATTGATCTGCTCACACCTCAGTTCCACTTTCCTTCCTTGCCCTTTGTAAATCTTGACTCCCTTCTAGCTCAAAAATCAAACTGATTTTTTTTTTGATGTATTCAATGATTCATCCTTTGTTGCTGAGGTCACCAAAGATTTGTGACCCTGCGGAGGCATTTCTTTCCCACTGTCTTAATGAGAGGCTTGTTATTTTGAAACACATTCTCCTCTGTCCTCCCAAGGAATGCAAGGACGTGACAATAGCATCATGTATTGGTAATCTACTTGCATTTTACCTAATGTTGAGGAAATGTGGAGGTGCTGGTATTGGACTCTGGTGGACAAAGTCAAGTCACATGACCAGGTTATCATCCAACAGGTTTATTTGAAATCTCAAACTTTCGAAGCGCTGCCCCTTCTTCAGGTTAAGCCATTGACGTTTGAACTAAAGAAAAAACAGTTGAAAGAATGCAAAACTGTGCCTTTGTAACCTGTCAGGTGGAATTTTGCTTAAATTTACTCAACCATGCTTTATTTCCTTTTGTTACAAGTTGTGGCCACTTCTGTGGAACGGTGGCTATAATATTATAAATGCCCTGATTTTTCTCTCTTCCTTTTAGACTGAATATAGCTCATCATGAACAGCCAGGAATGCTTTACATGTGGACGTAGTGGACATTGGGCACGCGAATGTCCAAATGCAGGTGGGCGTAGTCGGATTAGAGGTCGTGGCAGAGGAAGTTTCACTGCTGCAAGAGGTAACATAGAATTTTGCTGCTTAATCTTGGCAGAAAATGCCAAGCTTCCTATACCATAAGATCAAAATGTTCTAGGGTGTCCTGAGTTACTCCTAACAGCTCATGTTGCGCACAACTTTGAGGATTTTTTTGTTCTGAATTGATTGGTCCTTAATTACTCCACCTAAACTTAGCTCTGGCACTGTTTGTGTAATGGAATGATCGGCCTTGTTTAGACTCAAAGGTCAAGTCTGAAATAGCATTAGTCTGTTTATTTCAGCCAAATTACTTGGTACAGGCTTTGCTTGTTCTAGTACAACCTAACTATGTTGGGATGTGGTATATTTGTTAAAAGTTGAACATACTATAGTTAGGCACTGTCGTTCTGAGAGCAATTTTGTAATTGATAGTTGAGGTTTTTTTGACTAAATTGTTTGGCATATCTTGGGAGATCTTATTGAAGTGGGTAGAAAGTTCAGGTGGTTGGGGGGAATATCTTTTGTTAGCACTCCCTCAAATCCCATGCTATTTCTGCTGGAACTCTTTAGTTGGATCCCTTCAATCTGGCTTCCATCCCTACCACAGTACCAAATGACTTCTTGGAAGGCATCAGAGATAGTATTTGTCACAGTCATAAATACTAAGCTGCCCTTGCCCTCCTTTGCCATTCACCACAGACATCCAAGTCTACAGGACTACATTCCTGACTTTATTATCTAATAGTGCAGTGGCTTTTCTGCCTGATCCTTTTAAAATTCCTTTTGTTCTCCCAAGGATCTATCATGGCTCCTCCATTTCTCTTCAAGGAGAAGCATGAGGATATCACTCATTTCCATGAGTGCACTTATGACACCCAGATTTATCTCATTGCCTCTCTTAAATAGTTTGACTCTAATTGTGCTATGTGCTAATTTCATGCTTATCTGATGTCCAGTATGTGATAAAGAACTCATCCTAATTAAATATTGGGAAGTTTGAAGCTGCTGTCATCTCTCTGGCTACTGACTATCCCTATCCTTGCAACTGCCAGAGGCTGATGCAGTTTATTTGTAACTTTGGTGTTGTAGTTGACTCCCAAGATGAGCCTCATTATCACACTCTCTATTTTCCCTTCTGTAATATCACCCAGTTCTGCCCCACTTTATGATATCTGCTGAAACCCTTTGTCTCTTACCTCTAGACTTGACTGATCCAATACACTTGGCTGACCATCCACATTCTATGCTAAGCTTGACGTTCTCCAAAACTGAGCTTCTCTTGTCTTATTTAACCATCACCCTTGTTCATTTAATGTATGTTTAGCTGCCGGACTACAGTTGATCTGTTATCTGTATGATGTTTTGTAACTTGTGGTAAAGAAAAATGAATAACAGCTAACTTAACTTGACAGTTGATTATTTTGTATTCCTATAATCAGCTGCTTGGATGAGGCTGTTCTTCATGATGCCAGTTCATATAGGGCTATGCAGTACTTAATACACTAAATCATAAAATACTGACTTGAAATTGGTCTCCCTTGATCTAGTTGTAATATCCTAGTTTTTGTGGTGATAGTGGCTGGGTTAGTGTTCGATGGTTATAACTTGTTTTGAAACTGGCAAATTCTGGAGTCTATTTATGCAGAATTAAAATATTGGGATGTGGAATAACCTGCCAGAGGAAGTAGTAAATGCACATACAGTTACAACATTTAAAGACATTTGGACATGTACGTGAAAGGTCTAGAGGGATTACAGGCTAAATGCAGACAAGTGGGACTAGTTTAGTTTGGGGAAACTTGGTTGGCATAGATGTGTTGGACTAAAGGGTCTGTTTGTGTGCTATATGACCCTGTCTTTGAAATTTCTCATCTTTAAGTTCTGATTATAGATTTCATCTTGTGTATTTAAATCACTTATTTTGTGCTCTTAAATTTTCAAAATCATTACTTTTTTACTTGTTATCTGTTGTCTTGAGTGTGATTGGCTACTTCCTTTTGATCTTGTACCCTTGTTGATATCAGGTGAATTTTGCCAAAGATCAGTAAATCTTTTATGGAAAACCTGAAGACAGCAACAAATGATCTTGTTTTGCTTCTGATTGAATTCAGGCCAGTTTTTTTTCTGTTATCAATAACTTCATTTGGAAAAATAAATGCTCCACTCAAGTTGAGATGTGAATATTGATGTCTTGGACAGATGTTTTCTTGAGGACCAAAGTGCTGTTTTAATATTGGGGGTGAACGGGACTGTAGTGAGGAAATTCTTTAAGGATTAGAAACTTTGAAATTCTTCTGTCTTGGGTGTGGAGGTGAGGTCATTGCTATCATTCAATTCCCTTCCCTAACAAGGAATCTCTAGCTTAAAAATAGGCAATGCTGGAGCAAACTTGAAGGCTTGAATGGCATACTCATGTACATAATTCACATGTTCATATCATCCTTTTGTAGTTACCCAACTCCATGGAGCCATAACATGGATGAGCTCTGACAGGTTAATTGCTTTTCTCAACTGATGGCAAGTTAACAATAAAAAATTGATAGTATCTTTTGTTTCCTTGTTTAAGGACAAGAATTGTCTGAGTGGAGTTAAACCACTCAACTTCAATACTTGTTCTTCAATTTGAAAGTAAGATATTTGGAACTTTTTTTAGTTTGCATAGCAAGATTAAGTATCTCCAACTCTAGTTGGAAAGGGAAGTTCTTTCCATAATACTGCATCTTGAGTTTTCTAAATTTGCAAAGTAAGTCTTGTCTTTGAAGGCTGTGTACACCAAAAATAAGATTGAAACTGTCCCAGATTTCTTCCAAAGGATACAGTCAAATGACAAGACATTGAACACCAAGGGTCAAATGTAGCTCCAGGTGAATAGTCCCACCAATGATTGTATGTAATAACAATTGTTAGTATTGGTGCATCCATTACATGCCATTATGGATCTGAGACACCGCAAACTGCTCACCTGGTTTTGGAAGAGACAGTGGGGCATGTGAATGTAATGAAGGATTACACTCTTGTGCATGCAAACATTATGGATACTTCAAATACAAATCAAAATTTTTTGGTTGCCTGCATATTTTGTAACTACCAGGCTCCCTACATGAAATGAGCTTAGTGATCAAATTTCTGTGCATTGCTATATGCATATTAATTTTAATTTGTTGAACTGTTTTAAATTTGCACTTATTTTTCTAGATATCTGCTATCGTTGTGGTGAATCAGGCCACCTTGCAAAGGATTGTGAGCTCCAGGAAGATGGTAAATATGTAAAATGTTTTTTATTTTGGAAATTGACAACGCAATTTGTTACAGCATTAAAATTATTTTCATTTGTATGTTTCAGCTTGCTACAACTGTGGTAAGGGTGGCCATATTGCCAAAGATTGCAAGGAGCCAAAGAAGGAGAGGGAGCAGTGCTGCTATAACTGTGGCAGGCCTGGACATCTAGCCCGTGACTGTGATCATGCTGATGAGCAGAAATGTTATTCGTGTGGAGAGTTTGGGCACATTCAGAAGGACTGCACTAAAGTCAAGTGCTATAGGTACGAAGCAGTGGCCAAGAATGTTTGAATGTTTGTGACTGGAGTGATGTAACTAGCTAATTTTTGTTTCTTAAAACAAGCAACACTTTGATAATCAGACTAGGATGTCTGTTGGAAGAGTAACAACAATCAAGGACCCTGCACATTCTTGGAGCTGCATTTAATGCATTTGAATATTTTTGTCCTTAAACTGATTCTCCAAACCTTTTTAGTAAATGTTTTGACCATGTGGCTATTCCATTAGAGCCCTTCAACAGTGTGACAATTCCCAAAAATACGGCCCGTAGCCGAACCAAGCATTTGCAATAATTGGCCTTAAAGAGCTGATGCTGAAGCAAACAAAAGTTGCAGTTGCTGAAAATATACTTCCCAGCTCCATGGATTCCTTCAGCTTGGAATAGCAAAATGAGAAATTTCTTCACTTGGTTGTGAATCTTTGATATTCTCTAGCCCAGAGACTTTGGCTGCTCACTTCCTGAATATATTTGATGGTTGAGCTAATCTACCTGTCTAAAACCCAAAACCATTTACAGGCAGGCTATGATAGAAGACCAGCCAATATGTTACTGAATTGTGGAACAGTCTTGAGGGATAGCATAGACTATTCCTATTTGTGTTCAATATGCTATTACTTAGCACTGCCTTGATAGAGGAGGGCCAAATTCAGGATTTTCCAAGCTATGTGGCTTATTTGCCAAAACAAGAATCTGAGCCATTCAAGTACTTGTAATTATAATCTATTGGTATTCCACAATGAGGTTACTTCTGAGGCAGTAGTGTAATTTGCCTGCTTAAATCTGTTCTTAACACTAATTTATTGTATTAGCTGGTCTGCATTTCTGTGAATTGGAATAGTGGCCAATGCAACTTACTGTGGAAACTTTTTTTTGCATCTGAGCAGTTAAAGAAAATGATTAAAATTCTAATGCACTTTCATTGCTCCTCGGAGATACTGCATGTGACACTAGTATTTTATGGGGCCACTGGCTTTGCATCTATGAAATAGTTAAATGGGCAACTAACTAAAATTAGTCAGCTGAGTGAGATTTGAATGATCATTGGCTGTCAACTTTCAGGCATGTTGCAAGATGCAACATGTAAAGAAATTGAAATCTGTTAGTCATATTTCTAGTTGAATTAAACTCCAAGTTCCACAATTTAATACACTCAATCTTGTCTGCATATTGTCTACAAAGCACAACTTCATGTGGTATTCGGCTGTCACATTTGACGCAGGAAGCTTTGTGGATAAGGGAGGTTGGAATATAGGATGGTGGGTGCATGGAACATCTGGAATGTAAAGTGGTTTAGTTGGAGTTCTGTCCTTAGGTCACAGGTAAATACTTGGAACCTATTTGAGTATCATGCTGTTCCCTATTCTTGCTCACCTATCAAACAACAATCACTTCCTGTTACAAAACACAGCACTTTCCCTGTTCCATTCAATAGGTTTATTTACTTAGGAAGGATTGAGAAACTGGTAGGAAAGAAGTTCATCTAGAGGGAAGAAATTTAGCCAATAATCCATAATTCATTGTACATGGATTCATAGAATAACAAGAATTATGTCCCAGTTGCTGTTCCTCTTACAAACGTGTTGAAAAATGCACTGTTTCCAATGCCAAAATGAGTGGCAGATGTGACCCCAGCATGTGTAGCTGGCACCAGTAACGTCAGCAAGTAATCTCTTCAGAATTGCTTTGACACTTGAGCAGCAGCTATTTAATGAAATGTAATATTGTCAAAATTAAAGCAACTTGTTGGCATGAGATGACTGGAGGACAGTCAATGTGATACTGTTTTAGAAGGGAGCAAGGAATAAGCCAAGAAACTATAGACCTCTGTGCTGGGGAAGCTGTTGGAAGCAATTCTAAGGAACACAATTAATCTGCATTTAGTGAAGCAGGAATTAATCTAGAATAGTCGGCACAGTTTTGTTCAGGAGGTGATGTTGCACCAGTTTAAATTTTATTTGAAGAGGTTACCAGATGTGCTGGGGACAATGAATGTCTTCTTTGTATTTAACGGCTTTTGATTGTGGTCCTTCATGGGAATCTGAATGCAAAAGTAATGGGGCTGTGGGATCCAAAGAAATTGGGTGAATTGGATCCAGGATTAACTGAGTGGAAGGAAACAGTGTTGGGGTCAGTGTTTGTTTTGTTTTACTAGAAATCCAAATCTGGTAAGGCTTTGCATGAATCAATAGGGCTCTTGCTGTTGTAGTATATGTAAATGGAGGGTTGGTCAGTAATTTTGTGGATGATCAATGAGGATAGCCTTGGATTATAGAAAGATAATGGATGGCTGGTCATTTAGGCTGACTGGCACATAGTACTGGATAAAAGAGGTGTTGCATTTGGGCAGGGCAAATGACGCAAGGATACACAAATGTTAGAATTGAGAGAAGCATAAAGAATCAAAGGGGTAGTAGGAACTGCCAGTGCTGGAGTCTGAGATATCAAGGTGTGGAGCTGGAGGAACACATCAGCCCAGGTAGCATCAGAGGAGCAAGAAAGCTGACGTTTCGGGTCTGGACCCTTTTTCTGAAGAATGCACTGGAGATGGTGCAAAGGCTGGGCTGAAGTAAGAGTGGATAGATAGGGGTTGTTTTCCTTGGAGCCAAATGAGATTGGAGGGTAATATGATATACATGGATAAATTTGAGGAGCATAGACTAGACAGGAAGGAACTTTCCTCCTTTGTAAGAATCATTGAACAGAACCATGCTTTAAGGTAAAGGCAGGAAGTTTGAGGGGATGTTGGGGAGGGTGGATTTCACCACCCAGAGGATAATAGAAATCTAGAACTCATCATCTGGTAATGGTGGTAGAGGCAGAAACTGGTATATTAGTATTCAGATGTGCACTTTTGATATCAAGGCTATGGGCCAAGTGATGAAAGTGGAGTTAGAATAGTTGGGTGCTTGTTTTCAACTAGCACTGCCTTCATGGGCTGAATGGTATTTTTTTTGTGCTGTGGACCTCTGAGCTCATGACTGATTCTGATTTATAGTAATGCTTGCAGTGGTCTTTAGGTTGGGTAGATGAGGATGTTGCTGGTCTACTACCACATCTTGATAGCCATCTGTAAGATAAAGGGCGCAAACAATTTGCCATTCCTATATCCCCTTATACAAACATGCTGCTTCATACATATTAAATGTGCTAACTATTTTAAGTGATTTCATGTTGAATTGTTAAAGAATCCAACTAGCAAAGCCTGCTGAAATGTGAGCTGTGTACATAATATGCTGGTGTATTTCCACTGAGGATAAGGTGAAAAGGTAACTCGGCTTTCTTCTCCCACAGCATTTTCTAAAATTTTAATTTAGTCACAAACCAATATGCAAAGCCCAAAAATCCTTTTCAGATTACCAGCAGAATGGGTGATAAATTGAGACTCTCTGAAAAAGGCAATTTGCTGACCTGAGAATTAACCGAGTGTGTGTGCTGAATTCTAATACCAGAGTTCTAATTGAACAACATACAGGTGTCCTGACTAACGAATGCTCATACTTACTGCAACTGTGTCCTTTAAAACCCATTCGCAAGCTGGGGACTGTCTACTGTTTGAATAAGATTAAAAATTTCTGTACTGTCTTGGATTGAGAGCCTGTCATAATCAGGCAACATAGGGTTTAATGCTATCTGTATCGGTAAACATTTCTTTGAGCATTTTATAGTTTAGTATACATGTTGAAACTTGGATGTGAAATATCTTGTTTAAATTACAGGTGTGGTGAAACTGGTCACGTTGCCATCAATTGCAGCAAGGCAAGTGAAGTGAACTGCTACCGCTGTGGTGAAGCTGGACATCTTGCACGGGAATGCACGATCGAGGCCACAGCTTAAATCTTTCTTTGTCGCCCCTCCTTTTTTCTGATTGATGGTTGTATTATTTCCTCTGAATCCTCTTCACTGGCCAACGATTGGCAGATAGAGGCTAGTCCCAGGCCAAGTGAGCTTTACTCAAAATGTAAAAGGAGGAAAGGGGTGGAAATTGACTTTCTGCATTTAACTACAAATGTTTATGTTTTAGTTTGGTAGAGGTGTTATGTATAATGCTTTGTAAAAGAACCCCCTTTCCATGCCACTGGTGTATAGGGATGAATGAGTGGGAAGAGATGAACCCGATCAGTGACCCTTTGGGTTCTAGAAGTGATTCTGTGGGAGGAAACCAAACCTGGAAGTGTCTGTGAAAACTTCCGCATGTGATTTCTTGAAATGTTGGCTTTGAATTGTTTGATCTTGGGAGCAGTTCATTACATAAACCAACATCTGTATCGGGGCCCTATGTCTCGTAAACAGCAAAGTGGGAGTAAACAATGAGAAACAGAGCAAGCCTGTCCACAGCTGAAAAGTACAGGTTTTTTTTTAAAAAGCATCATAGGAGTAACCAACTTAACAGTAGCTGAAACCAGAGTCAGTGTTGGAGATACAGATGTTCAAGCAGAAGTTTGAATAAATTTTTGAATGTAGTTTAGAGCTATAATACCCATTATGAAATACCACAACAAACACATAGCAAACAGGATTGGAACTACACAGCAGTTGAATGTGTTTTCACAGAAATCAAGATGTTATTTTTGTATAATCCAATTAGACTACTGTAAAGAATCATTTGCTTGAAATCAGTTTTTTTAAGACGGAAGGTAAAAGCAACTGAAGTCTTAGAACTATAGAAATGTAATTTTAAACTATCAATAAAGCTGGAGGAGGAAGGGGAAAGTTTGTCTGAGTGATCTTTGGACAGTATTCAGCCTACAATTTACATAGCTGATGTGCATTTCATTTTCTAGGAAAAGAATACAAAACTAGTTTTGTATTTTTAAGAGCACATACATTGCACTTCTGATAAGTCAAAAGTGCTTTTTTTATTTTTAATAATGAGAACTGAGTAACTGCCTTGAGCAGAAGTTCAACTAAGTTTTTTTAGACTAGTTTAAGCTGGATTTTTTTTTTGGTATTCCTTATGACACATGCATTTTTACTGCTCCCTCTGAAGAAGGATTTAGAAATACTTGAGGGATATGGCTTGGCAATTGCTAACTAAGATAAAATTGGGGAATTTACTGCTCAATGTTGAGGATTTTTAAAATACCCATGGCAGTAGAGGCTTCGGTAGTTTAATTGAACAAACCTAATTAAAGAATCCGGAAAGGATGTATGTGAAGAAAATTGAACAAAAGTTTCCCTTTCAAGAAAGGAACCAGTAACTTCAGCCTGGAGGCCTTAAATTTAGAATTGAATATTAATTCAGCCAAACTCTCAAATGATTTTGAAAGGCCTCTTGTGCCTGTTATTTTCTTTGTTTTAATCCCAACAGAGACTACAGTGTAGAAAATTGAATAGATTGAGGAAAACATTGTGTACTCACTAATTGGCTTCCTACGTGCAAAACTAAGTGTAGCAAAAGAGCATTAAAATATAAAGTACTCAACTAGTTAAAGTAATATGGCAATATTGAGTATAATATTCAGCTTGACTTGGTTCATTCTCTTTGTAAATGTTAGCCTTGTATCTGCTTTGTATTCTCAAAATGTCTGCATTGCTTGAAGGTTATTTGCAGTTACAAACCATTTGTTTCAAGCTTTTTTGTGGTTCTTGTAACAGTGATCCTTTGAAATAGCCATGTTGTGCCATTTGTGATGCTTCCTCTGGAAATGTTTCTGGCAACAGATGTAGATTGTGGCAATGTAAGAACTTCTGTGGTTAGTAGGCTGACTTAGAAAGTTATAAACTTCTGATAGGTTTAGGTAAATGGATGTGAGTTAGGATTGGATACCAGATGAATCCAGTGAAAAGGTTTGGAACTTTTTGAATTACAAGAGGCTCAAATCATATGACTAATCTGTGCCAATGAACTGCAGTATGTGGGGAAATGTTAATAACAAAACATGGTCAACTTGTTTGACCTACTGACAAACCTTCCTCACTTCCCAAATTGCCTGTACACGTATTTCTGGATTTGGGATAATTTCTACAAAGCTTTTACATTTTGACTTTTTAAGCAGCCATTTACATTGTTCCTGAATGTGTAGTTTGATTTCAAAAAATTATTTCCTCTTTAGATTTTTAAATTTCCATATGTAATGGACAATATGGATTATTGTTGGACTAACTTTAAGCAAATTAATCACTGCTGTGACTTCTCCCTAGGTCTCTCTGTAGATGCACGTTGGCTGCAGGCATGTTGCTTGCTTCATTTTAGACTGAAATTGCTTTAAAACCACTTCTGAATTTGCATCAATGCACTTGTACTTTAGGCTTTTGAAGCACATTCCTGTTTTAGACATTGTATGCTGGAGAAATCTGATTCTGATTTTAGTGCTGTTCCTGGCACAATTTTTAGATGTACCAACCTGCTGAAACCACAAAAGGAATAAAGGCAGCATGTGCTAGAGCAAGTGATCCCACAACCAACTGATCAGGACAAAGCTCTTTTGTGAATAGTTGGCAATTAATCCACTGTAACAGGAGCATCCACAAATATTATTGAGCAGATCCTCATTCATTAAAATATTTTAGCTGTGACTTTTTAAGCCAGAAATCCCGAGTGGATGAGTCTGCTCAGCCTAATTTCTTTCTTTTGATAGTCAGAAGTACTTAAGAAGTAATTACAAGGATTTGGCCTCAACAACATCCTAGCTGTAATTCCTGAGACTTGTGCTGTAGAACCAGTTGTGCTCTTCTGTCCTGTTATAACTACATCACCTCACCATTTAGCCAAACAGCAGAGAATTGCTCAAGTATAGCATCACAGAAATATTCCAATCTTTCTAATCTCAATCCAAAGTATTGGAAAGTATCATTGAGGGTGGGAAAAGCAGCACTGACTGAGTAATTTTGCTGTGGGTAATCCAAAATACCTTGTTATCCATATCAGGTTACACCTTGTCCATGAGCTGAATTCCAGAGACCGTTTGATGTTAAAGCAATTGTCAAGAATGGCCAACAAACATGAGCAAAATTTTTAAGTTGATTTGTGGTGTAAGATAAGGAAAGATTGTGGACTAATCAAATCAGTCCCAAAATGATGTTGACCTGACCAACTTGAGCTAATTTCTTCAGTGACTGATTTTTGCAAGGGCAGAAAGGGGGATACTGACAATGTAAATGTTCAGCACCATTCCCAAATCGTCTCTCTGAAACAGTCTGCCTGATCACAGGAAGATCTAAACAACATTCTGGTTTGGGTAAGTGGCAAGTAACTGACACCTTTTTGTAGTTGCCATCCCTCACATTCAGAGCCTGGTTATCATTGGCTAGAAATTTAGCTGAAGGAATGCTGTAGTTCTGTGGCTAATCTCCTAACTCCCTAAACCTGGCTAATAGTTTCCAAGCCACAGGTAGAGTGTGATGAATCATTGGCCTGGATGTGTAGCTCTAGCTTATCACTTGCTACAAAGCAGACCCCTGAGCGTACACTTCCTCCACTTAAGGTGCACAATTGTAGTAGTATGTCCTAAATAGAAGCAATGTACCAAGTTTCTCCACAGCACATTCCAAACCAGTGACCATTTGCACTCCAGAAGAATAAAGGCAGGAAGGAGCCAGTGTACAATTTGGGATATATTGGTATTTTGTAAGAAGGAAGGTTTTGATTTGCATCCAATATTGGGAATCCTAGAGATGCTGTGCTCCATGAGGTTGAGGTAATTAATTGATCTTTCCTGTTTTAATCTAAATGCACCATTTTTCAATGGTCTGTTTGTTTTTATGATATCTTTAGTCTGCTGACAACTAAACTTTTTAAAGTTGAATTCCAAGAGATTTCTTTATGTTGCTATCTAGTGATTTGATCTTCGGCTGAAAAAAAAAATGTCTTTGTTAGGTACTGAATGACTGGGATATGATGCAATTTAAGACAGTGGTGGAAAGGGTGGTATTACTACAAGAATGAGTAGTGCATGGCTGACTAATGGTTTTCGATTACTGCAGAACTACAGTCTAAGAGACTAAAATTTCCACGTAGACTTTCTTCGCACACAAGCAGCTGTCAGGAACACGTGAACTGCTTTAAACATGCTAACTGGTCTGCAGAAGATGCTGGTCAAGAGGAGATGCCGGTTCTTAAAGGAATATGATACAATGAGAATTTTGGACACTAAACAGGAAATCAAATTTGAAGGAAATGAAACTCATAATGAACAATTATGAACAATAAGGATATTGAATTAGCAATACTGAATCAGGAAAGGGATGAGCAAAAATCTGATGATACAGAAGCCACAGGACTAGTTAGTCTGACCAACTTCAGAAAGGAAACCACAACCTTGCACAGATGAAAGAATGGGATAATTACACTTAGTTGGTCTCCTCCGTTCATTGAATAAACAGAATGAGCAAATGTTACTTTTACCATTGTCTTTTTACAACTTATTTCAAACACTGCTGTGTTGTACAGGTGTGACTGATGTTCATTCCTCCTTTTTTATGTGACTAAACAAGGGGAACATTGACAGATTTCAGACACATCTCACTACATTTTTAAGTGTTAAGATTTTTTTTTCTGTAATTCTACTCCTGTAACTTTGTGTATCTTAGCTCTTTGTATTTGAATAATTGAGAACCACTCCCATGCTATCAATACATCAGTCAACAACTCTTCTGTGGCTAAGGCTGATATCCTGCAGACTTGAATTCAAAAGCTATCCAGCACCTGGAGGAGATTAAATCCTAAAGCAAAGCTAGTCTTAGCCAGTTCTAACATTCATTGTTACTAAAAAGTCATGTTTAACACTGAAATCCTTTTTTTTCGGGAAGGAAATCCGTTGTCCTTACTTGATATGGTTTGTGTTATCCCTAAGCCCCTATAATCTAGACTGCTAACATCACCTAGTTCAAAGGCAATTGGAAATGGAAAACAAATGCTGGTCTTTCCAACAATGCCTAAATCCCATGAAAGAATAAATGAATTTCTGTAATGCCTGCTGGTTATTGAGGCTTAAGGAATATTTATATCAAGCATAAACTTGCTGCATTTCTTCTGTTGCTCTCTGAGAACTGACCAGCAGGAATGTCTTGTCACTTTTTTTAAAATACTATGCAGATTTTTAATTTAAATATTCAGGTACACTTCTGGAGCTCGTTTGGTGAACCTAGATGTAAGGACACTATCACTGCCCCATATACATTTGCTTAATAGTTAACAGTTTGAACTAACAGTGGCCTTTTCGATTAATTTTGTGCTTGCTTGACTGAAACCATAGCGGTCAGAGAGATTACACTATCTTACCATGTCAAAAACCACGGGGAAGAGACAATAAAACAAAGTGTGAGACACTGCTACAGATAAAAGATGGACACAAAATTTGTTTTGTAAATGTCTTCTCCCAGCAACTTGTTACTTAAATTTACCTTAGTTTTACATTCCTTATACTTTTTGTACAATTTCATTGAAACATTGAGCTCCTCTCCGGCTAAGTAAATATTCATATTCTACTCCTGTTAATTCCAAAGAAAATGGTTGAATTTATTTTTTAATCACCTATCTTACCTGCTTATTATTCTGAAAACCTTGCTTTTGAAACTATAATTACAATACTTTAAGTAATAAATCTAATGCTAATACTGATAGATCTTGAAACAATACACCAGTTACTAGGGCAGTCAACAGTCAACCACATTTCTGAGAGTCTAAAGTTACATGTAGGCCAACCCAGTTAAAGATAGCAGATTATCTTCCTTGATTGATGAATACTGGATAGTACTCCGTATTATACCACTATCCCTGACTTCATGATTGCATCTGAGCAAAATCAGAGTCAATGGGAATGGGCATGAAAAAGTCTATAATCAGTCTAATTCCAAACAGTAAAGAAAGATGAGTGTGATTGTTGGAGGTCAATAGTCTCATCCCACGATGTCACCAGCTGGAATTCCTTAGGGCAGCGCTTGAGGCCCAATGATCTTTAGCTGTTTCTTCAATGACCTTGCTGCTATCATTAGGACAGAAGTGAGAATGTGCAATAATAAGCAAATAATGTTCAGCACCATTCGCACTCTGGACAGGTGCTGAAGCACTCCACATCCATATGCTGCAAGACCTGGACAGCATTGTTTTGGGCTGATTATTAGCAAGTAATATTTGCACTGCACAAGCATTGGGCAATGACCAATTCCAACACGAGAAGCTAACCATCACACTTTGACATTCTATGGTATTGCCATTACTGAATATCCCATTATGAGAAACTGAACTAGACTAGCAACATATATACTGTGGCTACAACAGCAGGTCAGACGTTTGCATTCTGTGGTAACCAATCTTTCCCAAAGTCTAGTCACCACCTTCAAGGCACAAGTCAGGAATACGATGGAATAATTGGCCCATTTGCCTGGATGAGTGCGACTTCAACAATACAAAAGAGGTTTGGCATCATCCAGACAGAGCTTCCCCCGAGTGGGATACCATTTAACACCTTAAATGTTCACTCCCTCTATCGCCAATGTATAGTGGCAGTAGTGTGTAACAGCTCCAAGATGCGTGGCAGCAAGTCACCAAGGCTACTTGGACAGTACCTTCCAAAATCATACCATATACCACCGAGAAGGATAAGGACCGCAAATACGTAGGAACGCCACCACCTGCAAAGTTTCTCTCCGAGTCAAACATTTTGCTGACTTGGATCTATATTGCTGTTCTTTCAATTCAATAGCACTGTGACAGCTCACCATGAGATTCATAAAAGGTAATTAAGGATTGGCATAAAATGCCAATTTCTCACCAACTTCAGACATTTCGGAAGAACACGGTAACCCAGTCCCGTTGATGAGATCATTCCTGCAAACTAACAGGAGGCAGTGGGGTGGATGAGCTGACAGAATGGAGCGCAGCCAGGATGCGGAGCTGGAATGTGAATCCTCCCGCAGCCTGTCGCCATTCCGGAGGCGGCTGCTATTACAGAACCCACCGCCACCGGCCTAGCTCTACCAGGTGAGAGGGCGAATTTGTAAGGTCCAAAAAGCAGCTTTGGAGAACTTCACCTGGCAGCCGGAAATGATCGCAGGAGTAACGGGAAAGGCAGATGGGGTCGCGACCCACTTGCCTGAAGATGAAAAGCGTCAGGACCCAGAACCGACTCAAGATGATGAGCGTCGAGAGAGTAAGGCTGTGTCCAATTTGACAATTGAAGAAGAGGTAAAGAACTTCAGAGTGCAGTATGCATCCAGTCAGGCTGCTAACAGAAAGCTGACCAACGAGTTAAATGGCTCCAACTGTAAACTGGAGTTGCTCCAACTAGAACTGGACACTGAAAGGCAACGGAACCAGCGGCAGAATCGCAGAATGAAAGAGCTCGAGAAGGAAGTGAAACGTAACCGTGCTCTGATCCCAGTGCTGTCTGACTGCAAAACCAAAGTGGAACAATTAGAGCGACTGGAACAATCATCTCAAGAACTGAAATTTAAAGTAAGTGTTAGGGAACTATTGGAACACGCAACCTGGACATACCACAATCAATAGAGCAGATAGTACACTTGCCAGTACAACAGAAGCTGCGCCGGCATTCTTTGCTGGTAGTTTCACACTTAACTTCCCTAGATGAGCTCACACTTCATTGTATCTGTACCCTAACAAGTTTTACATCAGGGTTTTGACTTTTACTGGTATGGAGTGTAACTTTCTGGGAAATTCTCCAACAATATAATATTGACAGGTCAGCATCATTACAGACGAGCCTG